TCATACTTTGCTAAGAGTAAGTCCTTCTCAAGTTCTAGCTTTTCATTTTTAGCTCGTGTCTTTCTAATGATTTTAGTGTATTGGTTTAGCAACTTGACAAGATCATCATAAGAAGGTGATTCAAATTCTTCATCACTATCACTACCACTCTCATCATTGTAGCATTATCATCACCACAACTATCATCATCATTTTGTACCTTTTGTTCACCCTTGGCCATAAGGCACAGGTGTGTAGAGGATGCTAGCAGCGGTGTCGGTGAAGATAGTGAAGAACCAATCACAAGAGCGGCCACCATCTCCTTCTCATTCTCACTTTCATCATCAGATGAGCCACTTGATGATTCAATGTCCGTGAGCCAATCACCAACAATGTATGTCTTGCCATTCTTCTTTTTCTTGTAAAATTCCTTCTTCTTGCCATCTTTCTTCTTGTATGGCTTGTTCTTCTTCTTCTCATCATCATCTTCATCACTTAAGTCATCTTTCTTGCCCTTGTACTTCTTCTTGTACTTGTCTTTCTTGGGTTTGGGGCATTGATGAGCTAGATGACCAAGTTCTCCACAATTATAGCAATCCATTTCAGAGATGGGCTTCCTTCTACTACTAGTGAAGAATTTCTTCTTCTTGCCATCAAACTTGACACCATTCTTGTTTAGCTTCTTGAGCATCTTGGTAGTTCTTCTCACCATGAGAGCAAGACTTGCATCATCAATCTCATCATCACTTGAGCTATCATGATCAACTCTTGCTTTGCCCCTCTTCTCTTGGCTAGCCTTGAATGCCAAATCTTTCTTCTTGGTGGAAGAGGAGCCATATTGTGAAGTGATGTGCATGTACATCTCATGTGCATTGATCTTCCCCAATATTTGAGTGTGTGTAGCAGTGAAAAGATGACCTTTGATTCAGCACCGTCACAATATGTCCATACTTATAAATGGGGAGGACACTCAAGATCTTTCTTACAACATCGGATGGTTGCATTTGAGTGAATCTAAGCCCATTGACTTCCTCTACAAGAACTCTCAAGCGTGAATACATCTCATTGGCAATTTCTCTAGGAAACATCTCAAATAAATTAAGCTGTTTCATCACAAGGTGATAGCGTTCCTCACGCTCACTCCTGGTTTCCTCACGGAGCACACAAATGTTCGACCATAGTATATATATATATGTTGAGACAAGGATAGCTTGATGTTAAGTGATATGATTAAATATGAACTCGAGTTGGATAATCAAATGAGTATGGTTAATGTGATCACTTGTGTATGACACCTAAATCCGTGTACATAATTTGCATTGGTCTTGAATGTTTGATCCAATGTATACGAGTTTTACATATACAAGGTTTTATTTTTTATCTTGTTTAATTGAGCTCGATGGATTGTTAGTTGCTAAAAGGTCTTTATACTGTTGAACTATTGGTCGCTAAAAGTTGTAACGAGGTGTTGGTCACTATAAGTTGCACCGTTAGACCGTCGGTCGCTAAAGATCATATCTGTTGCTATTTACTTATAGCGACGCCTTTAGTAGCAACAGCAGGGTCCATCGCTATAAGATTTAGCAACTGACTATCTGTCACTATACAGGCCTTTAGCAACTCCAAAGTCGTCGTTGTTTTAAGGTTGTGGTGTTGTGTGCACTCACGAACCATCCACCGCTCTGACGGACAGTCTGGTAGAACCAACACTTAGCTGTTTTCACCTACCTGTATGTGTGGATGATCCGATAGCACCCCGGACAGTCCGCTAGTACCCCAACAACACCTATAAGCTTACACTTTAACACATATGTTGCACACACCTAGTACTATGTCTTTAATACTTAATCCTATCCATGTCCAAGCATATCATATCCAACATGAGCATCATATTTATTTGTTGCACCTTGCACTCACATAAAAGTTGGGCCACACACCAAGCCTCTCTCACCTTATGATTTATCTTCTATTCTCTATCTTTTACATAATGTCTTGCATATATGATCATGACATCTCATACATATGTATACATTCAGATGCGTGATATCGGAGCGATGTCGAGTAATGGTCCAAGCTATTGGAACATTGCTCATCCACCAGGCAGGCACCTAAGTATCTTGACTTTTTTTTCTAATTGCAAAATTAACTATGTGTTATGTATATCCTTCTCTATGTGTCCAATATGACTAGATCCCACGAGCACCTAGTTGAGTCTTCACCCTTGTTATTCATTCCGATTACCTTGAAGCATTGATTGTTTTATAATTTTAGAACGTAATGCATGCTTAGCTTGCTTAGATACGGTGGAAGACGAATTGGTGACGGGTTTCTCATGATTTGTGAACTATAGGAAATGCTTGTCCACTAATCAACATCAAATTGAGCAATGAGCTAAAACTTGATCTATGTTATATGATGAATTTGACTCAATGGTAAGCGAGGGGTTGGGTCATGGAAATACGGGAGAGGTCTTGGATGATGTAGCTTGCTGGGCCAGTTAAGGACTGTATCTCAGTCGTAGTGAGTCTGAGTAACACCCCCCATACAGACCACATTCCGGGGATGGGGTCGGCAAGCAAATTAGCTAGTGGTGATCGGTTTTCCCATGGATTTGGCGCAGGGGTGATGCTGTGTAGATGAGATGTCATTACCTGGGTACCTTTCAAACCGTTTGTGGGCATTATTAGTGGCCACACTTGTGAAAGGATGGGGACGTGAGGCAACCCTTACTCGGGCACAGGTATGGCGGTTTGTCCTATCTTCAATGTGGGTACAGTTGTACACCTCTGCATAGTTCTCCTTGAATGCCTGAAGTCTTCGGACAAATTGGTTGTTCTTAGTCCTAGATTTAGAGTTGAGACATTGAAGGACTTGTGGAAGGTCGGGCTCTATTTTATGCTTAATGTTCATATATGTTATACCTTGCTATGCTTATATGTAGTTGGTAGATAATATTTCCTTTATACAAAAAATGATATTTATGCAACTCAACTTTTATTCCATGCTAATGCGAAATGCATAATCCATTGTTTATATATCAGGTAAGTCCCGTGGAGTACACTTCAGTACTCACGGTGTTTTTCGTTAAGTTGTTTTGCAGGTACCTACAGGACATTGGCGGCCATGTCCCCCCGTCGATGCTAGCAAAGTGGGTAAATGGCAGGGGTCATCCAAGCTATGGTGGCGATGCCCATGGGCAAGGCCATTGCCCGTTACTGGTTAAAGTGTAATTCATAGCACAGTTGTATTATGGTAAGACAGTCGTCTGATTCTCACTGTACTGTGTTTAATAAATATCTTCATTTATGTTATACAATTAAATTGTTAATTCAATAAGACTTACAAATATATGTTTTCTGTTGATTTTAGGCAATCATTTGTTGAGATGGAATCTTGATTACCCAACTGGGATCTTGTGTCGATCTTGATATACTGGAGATGTGGATGGCATCTCCCAATGATCACCGAGGTTGAATTGCTTTAATTGATTTGGTCAAGTGGATGACACTCCATTTAGGTAAATCAACGTGGCAGGTCCCTTCATAAACGTGTTAAATTTGTTATATCATAGGATTGTATGTGTGCATTATTATTTTTATACCATAGAGTGCATAAGGTTATAATGTATAAACTTATTTAAAAATAACTTATGAAATTTATTATCATTGAATATTAATATAAAGTGTTATTGCTACGTGGATGTTACATATGTTGTTAAAATAAATATTTATCCTAATGTATATTTGTTTATTTGATATACATGGTGAAACATAGCATTGTAGTTACTTTATTTCATGATTATAGAAGTATGTAATTTAGAAATCTATATTTGTATCATAATTTACGGATAGTGATTTATTTTTTTTAAATAATTTATAATACCGTTTACGTGTAGATTTTAGATATTTTTTTATTATTATAATGTCTAAGGTACAAACAAGTATAAAGGTAATACCTTATATTATCTTTCACAACAACATATATGGATAGGTTAAACACAAACTTAGAATGTTACTTTGCATTATCTCTCATAATGATAGGGGTTGATAATTTATGAAATCATTAGGAGATGTTTTAAGTTATCTTACATAATGATAGGTGTGTGTAATTTAGTTACAAAGTTAAAGGATTGTTTTAACTTATCTTTTATAATGATAAAGCTCGTTAATTTAGGCACAATGTAGAGGCTTATTTTAAATTATGTTTCACAATGGTCAAGGTGGGTAATTTAGATGCAAATTTAGCTGGTTATTTTAAATTATTTTTCATAATGGCAGATGTGGTAATTTTATAAAAATATATGGGGTAATTTTAAATTATCTTTTGTAATGGCAGAGGTGAATAATTTACATCCAAAAATTAGTGAGTTACTCTACATATTTTTTTGTAATGACAGTGGTGGGTACTTTTTTTAAAAAAAAACTGCAATAGATGCAATGGCTATTATCGGTGACGTGGAGTCTAACCAAATCAAAGGCGAGATGTTTCTGATTGTTATGAGAATTTCTAGAATTTATCTTTTTCCTAAGGCGTCTGGTGAGAATTAACTTGGTGTCTATGTAGGGCCTCTAATTAGTAATATTAACATATGATAAGATGATGATTAGAGTCTACCAGATCAAATGCGAGACGTTTCTGATTATTGTGAGAATTTCTAGGATTTATCTTTTTTTCCCTAGCGTGTTTGGTGAGAATGGTGCCTCTAATTAGTAATAGTAAGATAATATGACGATTAGAGTCTATCAAATCAAATGCTAGATGTTTCTGACTATTGTGATAATTTTTAGGATTTGTCTTTTTTTTTTCCTAGCGCACCTAGCGAGAGAATCAACGTGACGCATCCGTTGAGGCCTCTATTAGACGTTAATAAACTAACTTGGCATTCACGTGATGCCATCATCGGCACTATATATGAGGATGCAAAGGCTCTAGCACCCAACCAAACCAAACCAGCTAAAGCAAGCAAATCAAAGCCTTATCCCTCATACACTCATTCTGGTAGTACGCTTGGAATTGCAGCGATGGACAAAATCCGTAACCGGCCTTGCCCAGCAGAAATTCAGACGTACGTCGGTAACCTCACATCATCCTACACTAACAAGAGCAATGAGCCCAGTATGGTGGCCGCCTCTGTCATCATGTTTGTCCTCGCCGGACTATTCTTCAACCTCAACCTCTTCAGCGGCATCTCCGATGTCAGCGCCACACTCGACCCCAAAGTCCGCCTGTTCCTCACCTCGGCGCTCTCCCTCTTCCTCCCTGTCATGTCCTACCTCTTATCCGAGGCGAAGAATGCTGCGTACACGACGATGAGCTCCTCCTCCACCACTGCGAGCGCTGTCACTGACCTCTCGCTGAGGGCGGGGCTGATCCTGGCATGGATGCTCCTGGTGGAGCTCCTCCGCAAGAAGGTGGACGAGATCCGCATGCGCGGGTTCTCGGGCACCATCCAGCGCGCCGGCCGTGTCATCTGGCTGGGAAGCCTCGTCTTCTTCAACATCAAGAGCGCCGGACGCAAGGCAGTGTTCAGCATCCTCTGGATCCTCTGCGCCACCAAGGTGTTGCAGAGGATCGCCTTCACCGAGATTGGGAAGCGCTCGTACGCCCACGGCAAGAACGCCCGGCTCATCAGCTCCTACATGTCCCAGATCCTAGAACAAGAGCCTCCTCACCATCAACAAGAAGCTGCCCAGGTCCATACCCACGGTGGGAACGGGAACGGGAACGAGCTGTTGAGGACGTGCAAGTACATTGTTATGGGAGAGGAGAAGCTGGTGGATATTGAGCCCACAGCAGATGGATACAAGCTGGAAAAGACGAACTCCGACCCCCCAGGCTACCACAGCATCACCAAGCTGCTCGCAGAAAATGACAGCATCGTCACCGTTGGTAAAATCTGGGAGCTCGACGACAAGGACAAGTTCTTCGCCTCCCAAGAGCAGATCCAACGCTTGAAGAGGATCTGCCTCTCCTTTGCTCTCTTCAAGCTGCTGCGCCGAAGGTTCGAGCACCTGCCGGTGGTGGCCAAAGAAGAAACGGACAACTCCCACCGCCTCATCCTAAGAGGCCTCTACGGCGAGACCCGCTCAGCGGAAGCAGTCTTCCAGGTCATGCATGACGAGATCAACTTCCTGAGCGAGTACTACCACTCTGTTGTCCCGGTCGTCCTCGCAAGCCCCTTCTTCCTCTTCGTAAACTACTTCCTCCTCAACATAATCGTGGCCATCTTGTGCTTCATGACTGTCATCCTCTGCGGCAACGGCGATATTGGGTACGCGTTCCACAGCATCGGCGAAGATAACTACACCTTACAGTCTGGTGTCCCCAACATAGTCCTATGCCTTGTGTTCAGAGCCACCAAATCGCCTCAAGCCTTCTTCTCCATAGTCGACCTCTCTATTACCGTCCTTCTGTTCGTCATCTTCTTCTACGAGGAGGTATGGGAGTTCCTCGTCTTCTTGCTCTCCAACTGGTTCGTGGTGTCTCTGCTCTACAACTACACCGCCAAACCGCGGTGGCTTAGGAAAGCCACCCTCCGTGGGGCCTTCTTCTGGGGAGGATTCAGCATCATCATGTGGCTGCGGAGCAAGATGGCCCACCCCAGGGTTACCTTCAGGCAGTTCTCTGTCTTGAACATTCGTTGGCCCCTCAAGTTGCCTCTGTTTGCAACATTCACCAGTCTGGTAGTAAAGAAAGAGGTGGTGCCTAACAGTGTGAAGAAATCCATCATGGACTACCTAGCGGAGCTGGAGCATCACCGTGGTGGTAGTGCAAGTCACTATGCCCTTGACTGTGGCAGGTCGGCACTACGGAGGAACGGCCTCTCTGATCAGCTCTGGTGGGCATGCAAGAGCGACAGTGTCTCCGAGGTCATCCTCACATGGCACATCGCCACCAGCATCATGGAGGTAGAGCGCCGCCCGGCGGCGGCGAGCACGATGGAAGCTACCTCGAGTAGGGTGGCGATTAAGCTGTCCAAGTACTGCGCTTACTTGGTGGCCTTCCACCCGGAGCTACTGCCGGAGAACCCGGAGAAGGTGGAGCTCGTCTTTGAGAAGATGAAGGAGGAGCTGAAGGACATAATTGGCTGCCGGGAGTACTACCTCTCGCTGCTGCGCACACGGGTCCACAGTATCATCAAGCCGCAGAGCCGACGGAACGAAGCGGTAGGCCCGAGTGATCAAAGCAGCAAAGTTGTACGAGACGGCATAGAGCTAGCAAGGTCGCTAATGGGAATGGGAGAAGCTACTAACAGTAACAGGTGGAAGGTGTTGGCGGATGTGTGGACGGAGCTCATCGTCTACGTGGCGCCATCGAGCGATGAGGAGCGCGTCAAGGGACATGAGGACGTCCTGGTGCAAGGAGGCGAGTTCATCACCGTGCTCTGGGCGCTCACCACCCACATCGGCGTATCTAGGCCGCCGACCAACAAACTGGCAACAGCTGTTGTTCATCTCGACGCTTAGATTATTGAGGAGGAGAAAAACAAGGCCTGCCGTGTTAGTTAATTTGGCGATGTGTGCTTTGCCTTTTGCAGCTATATGCCTTTGATATTGTGTAGTTCCTTCTGCTTGCGTGTGTGCTTTGTTTTAATTTGGCGTGCTTCCATGGATTGGTGAGAGTCGTCTAGTCTGGTACTGTTATTTGATTTCACTGTTCTATCAACCCGTGCGGTTTATTATATATCTTTTGATTTTTTTAAAAAGTTAAGTGTTTCGAGAAATTTTACAACGGTTGAAAAAAATATGGACCATTAGTAGGGCGAAATCAGATGGTGCAAAAATAAGAGTTACCCATATAAAAGTACTCAGAAGTACCAATTAGATGTAGGCAGTATCAAAATAGGTGATTAGTACTAAAGTTTTTTGGCCTAGATCTATTTTTTTTTTTTTTGAATAAGTGTAAATCAGTAGTCAGTAATTTCAATAGCTTCGTTCAAGGGTAAAACTGGAATGTTCCATCCCATCTTCACGGTGCGCCGCTGGACTCTGCCCAGACTGTCCACAGTGTGAGCGGTGCCGGAAAAAAAATTTCGGTCTGACACAGAGCATCGATGCTTCAGCTTTCCAATTCTCACAGCGTGGGCACCGGTGCTTCACTGTGCTTGTGGACCCCGTGACACACCGTCGTAGCGGCTGCGGAGGCAGAGGCGAACGAGGAATAATATTTTTTAACGTTTGAAGCACTGGTGAACGAACATACATCGGTGGCCACTTTTTTTTCATCTCAGCACCGGCTACAACGTGGGCATGGGTGCTCCAAATAGGAGAGAGAGTGTTTGGACACCGATAAAAAGCAACGCTGTGGCTAGTCTCATGCCACCAGAGCTCACCTCGCCAAGGTGCCGCCGCGCCGGTGCCCAGTGACCTTATGTCCGCGTGTCGGATCTCTCCTTGACGTGCGAAGGAGGCTGCCGTACGCCCACCTGTTGCTGCCTCCTATTCCCGCATCACCCAATCCCTTTTTTCGCACGCTGGAGACTAGAGCCCGCTTCCCCGGGCTGCCAGAGTCCCTTAGCTCATGCTCTGTAGCCCGCTTCCCCATGCCGCCAGAGCCCCTTTGCTTGCACGCTGGAGCTCTGCGCCAAACCGTTGTAGCCTGTTTCCTGGAGTGCCTGGAGCCTCTTCGCCTCTGCATTGGAGCTCCCCGCCTTGCCGGAGCCCGTCAGTGCATCAATGGAGAGAACGACAGAACGAGACCATCAGAGTCTGCTTCCTCGTGCTGCCGGATCCCCTTCACCCCTGCACTAGAGCTCCGCATCTCGTCGCACCGCTGGACGCCTAGACCCCTTCGCCTCCGCATTTGGACCCCAATAATACCCTCAATAATAAAAATTAAATTAAATTTTGTAATTAATCTCCTCAATTAAATAACAAAAAATAGAAAAACAAAAGTACCTCGAAGTACCAATGTACTTTTCCAAGCATTGTAAGACTGTCTCCGACGGTGAGCACTCAAACCCAACACCCATTTAGTAGTTTGGGGCGCCAACAGTAAAAAAGGGCTTGACCCATTTTCTCCCTTCTCCAACAACCACAGGCGACCCATTCTTCCTCTTCTCCGTCGGCGGCGTGGGCTTCGGAGTGGCGGTGGCGGCCGCACGCCTGCGACTAGGGCACTAGGAGCGGCGGCAGTGCCCGCACGCCTGCAGCCTGCAAGGCCGGGCAGGACCAGATCCACACAGGCGCCGGCGGCATCTTCGGCGAGCACGGGCTCCGACGGCTCCTCCGGCGCGGGCCCGCTGCTCCTCTCCACGCCGGCCGCACCCACGCCCCACCCCGCTCCTCGCGTCGACCCGCTCCCCGTCTCGCCCGCCGGCCGCGGACTCGCCTGGAAGCACCGGCGGCTCGCCATAGCGGGCTCGCCTCGCCGAGCTAACCGCGCCGTCGAGGGCCGCGCTGTCGACCAGGGAGGTGGAGGGGGAGGCCACCGCGCGTCGACCAGGGAGGAGGGGTCGACCGCTCCACGCCGCTCGCCTCGCCGCCGGCCGCTCCACGCTGCGGGGCCCACCGCTACGGGCACGCCAGAGGTTTGCGTCGTCGTTCAACGAGGACGCTTTTTTGCGTTTCGGTGCAGCAGGGGCGCAAAATGCGTAGCCTCTTTGGGTCTTCTGTTGGAGAGGTTTTTGGTTACCTAAATACACTGTGCACGCTGCATTTTGGGTTTGGGTTGCTTTGTTGGAGATAGCCTAAAAGAGCTCGTCTCTTTTGGTTGAAAGAAGAAATTTATTCATCCTAAATTTGTTTAAGCAGGTTTGCATTACAAGCACATACAGAGAGCAATTTTTTGAGTCTTTGTGTCTAGATGGTTGTAATATGAATAGTACAATAGAGAATTTGTTTGAATCTACTTTATTCAATCTACTTGTTTTTGAAAATGAGAGATCTGCGAGTATATAGAATTGGGGCAGTGAGCTTGCGTGCCCTTCTTCTTCTTTTTTTTCTCAATGCGTGCCATTCTTCTGGCCATGAGTAATGCATGAACATTAGATGGAATCGACAGGCGGTACGTATCTTTTATTGTTGGAAGACCACTGTCTGTATTCTAGAAATAGAGTATATATACACCACCAGTGTGCCACGCTAGCTACAACTACGTCCTATAGCACCAGCATTTTCATGCAGCACACAGCCCGTGTATCATGACGTGGTAAAAGGGGTGTAGATTCGAAAATATGACGAGCAAAAGGCTGCATTGCGCTCTTCCGGCTAAGTATATATATTTTCAGGCGAAATTTTACCGTGCTTAGAAAAAGGTAGAGGCATGTCTATATCACTACTACACAAATGATTTTGCGTGACACCCCCAAAAACATAACCGTGGCGGACAAAATGGATGTCCGCCACGGTTAATGACCACGATTTACCGTGGCAGGCATTTTTTATTTACCGCGGCGAGCATTTTTGCCCGCCACGGTAAATCAATTTACCGTGGCGGACGTCCTTATATGTCCGCCACGGAAAATATGGTATTTTCTAAATGACGAGATGGGGCGTCCGCCACGGTAAATCTATTTACCGTGGCGACGCCCTATGAGGCCCGCCTCGATTAAGGCCGAGGCCCATATGGCCCAAATGAAGCCCAACATCAAGTCCGAGTATAAAACCCAACACTTAGGGTTTCAGCTCCACCCCCGCCCCCCCCCCCGCCCCGAGGCCGCCGACGCCTCTTTGCGAGGTCACGACCAGCGCCCGTGCGCCTCCTCCCCAGCGACGCGCTCCTCCCCCTCTCTCTAGTCTCCCCCTCCACGGCCACGCCTGCAACAAGAAGCCGCCGAGCCTCCCTGCCCCCCCGCCGGCGCGCCTCTGCCTCCCTCCACCGACACTTCGCTCCATGGTGGCAAGGTGGCCGTGGTGGTGCGAGGGCGGCTGATCTTGTGGAGGGCTGCCAAATCCAGAGGATGGCAGGCTGGATCCGACGGATCTGGCCAGATTCGTGGAGGGCGGGCGGCTCCCGGCGACGCTGGCGCGAGGCAGCTCCCGGGCGTGGGGCAACGCTTGGCGCGAGGCGGCTCCCGGTGTGTGAGGCGGCCTCTTCTCAACTTCGCCGCGTCGCCCTCTCCTCATGCGGCGGTGGCCGCGCCTCCCGCCACCACACCTCCAGATGCGGCAGCAGGCGGGCGGATCCGTTGGTGGCGAGCTCGTGGAGGCCGGATTTGGCGGCGGCTGGATCCGTGGATCTGGCGGCGGCGGCGACCTCCACCATGGCGGCGCGATCCAGATCCAGCCGAGCCCATATCCAGGCCCGGTGTGGGTTTTTTTTTCTTTTTTTTTTGTTTATTTTCATCAATTAACCACGGCGGGCATATCTCGCCCGCCGCGGTTAATCTCCCATTTACCGTGGCCTCTGGAGCGCGGCGGACGGCTTTGCCCGCCGCGCAAAACCTAAAACGCCCGCCACGGATAAGATTTGTGTAGTAGTGTATGGTGACTTTGTCTTTAGCCTTTAAGATCCCCAAAGTGTTTAGGGGTGTATGTACGCTCATATAGAGCGTATCTATGTGTATTTGAGCATCTATGATTGCATTATGTTTTGCGAAAACAAATATGTGGAGCGTTTTATCGTTTTGTTCTAAATGCTTTGAAAATAAAGAAAACGGAAATCTAACAAATTTGAAATGTACTTTTTTGTTATATGATATTTATAAAATTTATAGCAAAAGTGCACTTCTACAGAAGAGTTAAACATTAATTATTGGAATACTCATGTCATTTTAAATATTCAAACTTAATATAAAAATGCTATGTAGTCAAACTTTGGAATAATTGACTTATAACACCCCAAAACATCAATTGTTTGTACCGGGAGGGATCGGAGTAGTGAATTAGGAACAGGGAATTTATTAAGAAATGAACACAAATTTATTAATATAGGCAGGGATCAAGTATAACCAGCAAAGAACATCTGGCTGAAAATTAAGGACAAAGGGGGCCAAAGGCATCCTGTCTGTTTTCTTTGTAACCTTTTCTTTTATTACTAAGGCATCCTTTCCTTTGGCTTCTTCCTCTTTCCTATACTTTTTGAGGACCAACACACTGTGATCCACAATCATCGAGGCATCCTGTACCATTAAGGACAGAGGGGCCGAAGAACACCTTAATAATGCATGCACCTTTGTACCAATCGAGGCACACGGATGCACGCTCCCACTTTAGTTTCTTAAAAAGGATCCTCGAATGAAAAGAAACCCGTAAACAAAGACCACAGACAAAAAAAGATAAAACAGTCACACCACCACAAAGGGAAGAATAAGAAGACATGGACAAACCATCACATCATGTGTACTAGGCTGTATGCATGATTGCCCATACACTGTGCCATTGTCAAAAAAAAATGATAGCTGCGAATGGATATTGAATGGGGAATTTATGGAGAGATGAGCACAAATTTATTTAGAGGCACAAAGAATATGTAACAAGAAAATAAAGAACACATCCGCCGGAAAGAATCGGGGGGCCCAAGGCAT